CGAATTTCCTTTTTCGCTTCTCTCTTCTCATTTTCAGCGTAACTTTTCAGTCGGGGATACATGAGAAATTCTAATCTAACTTTGAATTATGTGGAGGTGTTGACTTGAATAAGGGTCCATTGAGAGAAGACCTGACCAAGGGACTATCGGGACCATCAACGATTCAAGGTGTAATGTTAGATACAAGTCATCTCAGGTGAAGCATAGATGTTCGATAAAATGCTTGTGAGAAAAAAATAGGGTTAGAAATGCAAAGTTGACAAATACTACTAAGATGAACTAAGTATCATTGTTGAAAGTCACCAACAAAGCTGAAATTATTTTGTATAAATGGCATATAATAATTTATTCATTTAATCCTTGTGGTTAAAGATTTTCCAACAGATGATAAAATATAATGAAATCCCAAACAACGCATTCACCTCTCAGTCTCTTTCGCAACTCGAAAGGCATCATGAAAGGGTCAAGTAGCTGTTCCAAATATAATACCCTGTCATGATGCCTTTTCGAGTTGCGTGCATGCAGAATTATCTTATAAAGCTATAATTCAATATAATTCAACTGTAAAATTTCCAAAACATGTAAAAAAAATCCAATTTGTTCACGATATATTAGTCCCATAATCAACATGAACTTATTAAAAAGAATACGAGCTCACAGGACGCCAAAAACCACAGGTCGGATCAATACAATTCCAGTAAACTAGTACCAACAGTCTCTCGGATTGAGCATGGAGATTTCACTTTGTCGTTACTCACAGCCAATTCTCTGATTTAAAGAAAAACCAAACAAGAAGATCAAAAAAATTTAGCCTATGACCCTCTTTCACTTTTATTCTGATGGACTGAATATCTTTCATAAGGAGTACTAAAAGTTTTGATTAAGAAGAAAGAAATAAAATTAGAAGGTTTTGGTTCAAAACTAACATTGAATATCCAGATCATTAACACGCAGTTCCAAAAACATAAAAAATTCAATAGAAAACACATAATGTGAGCTGAAAATGGGAAAGTGCGAAAGAGGAAAAGCTTACTTCCGGATAGCCCAAAAGAGAAAATAAATACCTTCTTGCAAGTGAGGGGAGAGGCTAAGAAATAAACGCAATCGGTGTTGCGTTCCAGTAATTCTTCCTCCATTTTTTCTTTGTAAATGAAAAGCTGAAAGACAGAGCACTACTTGGGTTTACAATTTTACATGGAGGAAAATTGAAAAACAAAAACCAAACGAGAGTGCATGTGAGCAAAAAAGACTGAGAGATGAATGTGATGTTTGGGATTTCATTATATTTGATCATCTGTTGGAAAATCTTTAACCACAAGGATTAAACGAATAAATTATTATATATCATTTATACAAAAGAATTTCAGCTCTGTTGGTGACTTTCAACAATGATACTCAGTTCATCTTAGTAGTATTTGTCAACTCTGCATTTCTAACCCCATTTTTTTCTCACAAGGATTTCATCGAACATCTATGCTTCACCTGAGATAACATGTATCTAACATTACACCTTGAATCGTTGATAGTCCCGATAGTCCATTGGTCGGGCCTTCTCTCAATGGACCCTTATTCAAGTCAACACCTCTATATAATTCAAAGTTAGATTAGAATTTCCTATGCATCCCCAACTAAAAAGTTACACTGGAAATGAGAAGAGATAAGCGAAAAATGAAATTTGAGATCGAAAAGGAATTTAGGGTTTAGAATAAAATTGAGGATTGTGTTGCAAGTTTTAAAAGTTGGGGGACCTAAATGCAAGTGCATGAAAAGTTCAATGACCATATTGCAAACGTACTTACGGCAGTGCAACGTCGGGGGACCATATTGCAAACGGATTAAATGTTGGAGGACTGTATTACAAGTTTTAAAAGTTGAGGGACCTAAATGAAAGCTTTAGAAAAATTCAGTGACCATTACTATACTTTACTCTTATTTTAATTTGATATATATATATATATATATATATATATATATATATATATATATATATATATATATAATATATATATATATATATATATATATATATGTACGAAGAATGTTATGTTAAATGTATATATAATATACATTATACTTATGAATCCATAATACTTATCATATATATAATATAGTTATATATATAATATATTTATGCATATATATATTATTATATTTATGTATATATATTATATATAAATATATACACATATATAAGTGTGTGCATATATGTAAGTTTATGGTGTATGTATATAAATATATATGTGTGTGTATATATATATATATGTAAGTAATTAAGTATATATATAATTATGTATGATCAATGATATATGTACATATATATGATGTAATTACATAACTATATATAAGTATTAATATAAATATATATGCATATATATATATATATATACATATGATGTATGTATTATACATGTATATATGTACATTATGTATATACATGGATTGTCAACCTTAAAATTATCAACACCACAAATGCAAGGGTCCCTCCTCCCTTATTCTTCTGCAAAACCGACGGTGAAATGATAAAATTACGGGGTGAAATTTTAATTTTTAAAAATCAAAAGTAAAGTGAATTACTAGGGATGACAAAAAAACTCGAACCCGACGGGGAAAACTGAAAGCCGAATTAAACGGGTCGGGTTCGGGGATGATAAACGGGGACGGGGACGGGATGGGGAAAACCCATTTATTTTAAACGGGGATGGGGATGGGGACGGGTTTGGTAATCCCCACCCCGATTACCCGCCCCGATACCCGACCCGATAAATATTAAAAATAATTATTTATATATATATATATAATATTAATAAATTTAATTTAAATAAAAAAATATATATTTATATATTTAATTTAAATATATATATATCCAGCCCAATTCTCGGCCCAATACCCGACCCAATACCCGACCTAATACCCGTTTAAATAACCGTTTATGCTAAACAGAGATACTCGTTTCCCCGCGGTTTTCCCCGATTACCCGACGGGGATCTCCGTTTAAATCCCCGCAGTTTTTTAAACGGGGACGGGTACCAGTTTTTTAAACGGGGACGGGGACGGAGACGGGGGGACAAATACTCGGCCCAAACCCGGCCCGTTGCCATCCCTATGAACTACAAGTGGACTTTTAGGATTTTTAACTTATAAATATTTAAATTAATTTTATACAATCTAACAAAATCATATTCAATAAATAAATTATTTAATGATTATAATTAAATTTTATAATATATTAATTATAATTAATATAGAAAATAAATTTATTAATTTAATTATCATAACTAACAATTTATTTTAACTTTTAAAAAGTAATTATCATAGTTTATTATAAATGCAAAATATCATAACTTCATTAAATTTCATAACTTCATCGATTATAACTTATAAGTCAGGTAAATATCAAGTCCTTCATCAGTTATAACTTATAAGTCAGGTAAATATTAAGTCAGTTAAATAATAAGTCGACTTATTTACAAGTTGAGTCAATTACATGTCAGGTTCATAACATGTCAGTTTGATAACAAGTAGGATAACTCCAGTTATTTTCTAGGTTAATCTCAATTTCAGATTCATATCATTCAGATGTAAAACAGATTCAATTATCATATTATCAATTCAATTCTGGTTCAGATCAATATTAATTCAGACTCAAATCGATTTCAAATCACCACTACCTCAAGTCACAAAGAATTTTAACTCAAGTCAATTTCGGTCAATTTTTCAGGTTAGATCAACTTTTTACAATCCTACCAAAAAGAAGATTAGGATAGGAACGAAGGATTACAGAATAGGAACGGCAGTACCTGAATACTATCATCACTAAAGCTTGTGAACCCCACAAAATTAAGAAAGTCAGAAACGGTCCACGGGCAGCCAATTATGCCAACTAGGACTATGAGAAAACAGATGAGGAATCTATTGTGTGGGCCCCAAACTCCCTACGTGTCCTACGTGTGATCTGACACGTTGGCTTCATCTTCCATCTGTATTTATGATTCCATTTTTACCCTCATAAAATTTTATATTTCCATAATGGTCCCCGGGCATCATCTTCAAAAGAAACGTTCGTCGCTTTCAGTCTCAGTATTTTCCCCTTCATCAACGCGTGCGCGCACACACAAACACTTTGCTCACTAAGCTCATTCACTAACTATGATTTGTTTTTGAGATCTCGAAATTATAGAAAATGTTGGATTATGCATTGTAGGGCTCAATCAGGGGAAGCTGGATCGTTTCTTTCGTTTCCTCATCGTGATTCGTCGTTTAAGGTACTGTTTGGCCTTCGAGAAGAAAAAAGGGGGGGGGGAGCTACATTTTCGTTAGGGACTCGTAGTTTGTTTGACCTTCGATTTTTATTGTGTAATGAATCATTATTGTGCTTTCTTGTGTTCTGTAAGAATCATAATGTTTCATTGTTCACATTTCAGGATATATCATTGATGGCTTTTGACCTCTGGGGCCCATCATTTCCTGAAGGTGGTTTCTAGTTTCTTGAATTAGCGGTTACATGCATGCATTCTTATTTGATCATTGATTTTTTCAATGTGATTTGACTGCAAGTCGGTATTCTGCAGAAGAAAGCAGCTATTTCATACAAACCGGAACGGCGGTATGACTTTTACTTCGGTTATGGCATCGGTATAATGGTGGTCCTATTTTTGCTGCAGTTTTGATTGGTATAGTGTTACTTGGCATCTGTTATTAGCATGGTTATGCAGTGTTTTGGTTTTTCACAGATATGAAGAAAATGCCTTGAACGAGAAATCTTGTGTTCAAGTGCTGAGTATATTGATTGCAAAAGTAGATACATTGATGAACTTGAAAAAGATTTGGTGTTGCTCCAAAGTGAACTGGTCTGGGATGAACATGAAGAATGGCATGACATCTGCTGTAATGCCTTGAGATCTAAGATCAACTGTCTTGATATCTCAATAAGGAAATTGAGGAAAAAGGATGAGAATGGCATTGAGGTTTGCTTATTGATGCATACAGAACCTGCTGAGAAGTTGCATGATACTGAAGGCCTTGCTCAAAAGTTTTTGTCATGAGAAAAATGAGCAGGTTTGACTCTTGGATATTTTTCATGTTCTTTTACTAACTTGTCATGAACATGATTCAACACTGAAATTTAAAGGGACAGTACCAGAAGATTGTGTCCTCGCGTTGAGTTTACAGATTGTTTACCCTAACTCCGCAATTTCAACCAAATTTGTGTAGTATATATGTTTCTTGCTTCTACAATTTAAGCCCTTTTCACCAAATGCTTCAGTCTATTGCTGGTCCCTGTGTTGTTCCATGTTTGTTCTAAATGTAGGTTTAATACCGTCTCTAGATATCTCAGAGTTGTAACAGTGTTGGATTTTTCTGCTACCTCAGTCATTTTGATTGGAAAGAGAATGGAGAACCTCTAATATACTCAAGTAGAGGTTTTTTTTAACAAAAATAAAATAAAATAAAATCAGAATGCTTTGACATGCCGGAGAACTTGGTAAGCACGTTCAACTCTTCTTGTTGTCAACAGTTGGTTCTCTTTGTATTTCCTTTAGTGGCCTATCATTTACTTATTAGTGTTTCTTCTAATTGTTGGGAAATAAACCAAGTACAAATAATTACTCTATAACCAGATTAGTGAGAATGCAAAATAAAAGCAGAAAAATAATACCCGAAATTGATAACGGAGTTCAGCCAATTGTGCTTACGTCTCCGGACTGCTGCAGATCTTTTACTAAGAGAGAAAATTTACAGGTGTTTACAAAACACTCACTACTCATAAGAAAGCTCTCTAGTATTGGGAGAAAGAAATGATTTTTGGGATAGTTTTGAAGCTAAATGAGCTAGGGTATTTATAGTTGAAACTTAAGGACTTAATCTTGTAAATACCCTAAAACCTAGGGATTAATTATGATTATCCCATTATCATTTTTCAACAAACATCTACCAAACTTTGAAAAACTATTTTTCAAAGAAACATTTACCAAACTTTGAAAACCATTTTCAAAGAAACATTTACCAAACTTTGAAAACCATTTTTTCAAAGTTGGTTACCAAACTTGAAAACCATTTTTTCAAAGTTGGTTACCAAACTTGAAAACCATTTTAATACTTTCAACAATCTCCCACTTGAAGACTGATTTTAATCTGTCTTCACACCTCGATCAATGCAACAGCTTTTCTAGTCTTGTTACTCTAGCATGCCAACTGAAGTTGAAAACAACTTCAGTTTGTCTGTAGTCACCGTCTTTGTCAACATATCTGCCGGATTTTGAGCTCCACTGATCTTTTCAAGTTTCAAAATCTCATCTTCCAGAAGAGACCTGATAAAATGATATCGCAATTGTATGTGCTTTGTCCTGGAATGAAAAGACGGATTCTTTGCTAGATGTATAGCACTTTGACTGTCGCAATACAAGACATTGTTTTCTTGTTTCTTGCCTAACTCTTCCAAGAAACTTTGGAGCCAAATCATCTCCTTGCTAGCTTCCGTAACAGTGACATATTCTGCTTCAGTTGTGGAGAGAGCAACTATCTTCTGTAGTTGAGAAACCCAACTCACTGCGGTTCCTCCTAGAGTATAGACATACCCTGTAGTGCTCCTTCTGATGTCAACATTTCTGGCTAAGTCAGCATCTACATAGCCTGTCAGTATCGTATCTCTACCTTTGAAACAAAGTGCTTTGTTTATGGTACCCCGCAGATATCTGAGGATCCATTTGACTGCTTCCAGTGTACCTTGCCCGGATTATTCATGTACCTGCTAACAGCTCCCACTGCTTGAGCAATATCTGGTCTGGTACAAACCATGGCATACATCAGACTTCCAATCGCTGAGGCGTACGGCACCTTCACCATGTGTGCACGTTCTTCCTCCGTCTTTGGTGACTGTTCTTTGGAGAGTCTGAAATGAACACCTAAAGGTGTACTTACTGGTTTAGCATCTTGCATGTTGAACCTAGAGAGTACTTTGTTGATTTACTCAGCCTGTGATAATATCAAAGTCCCTGACTTTGTGTCTCTCTTGATCCTCATCCAAGAATCTGCTTTGCAGCGCCCAGATCCTTCATAGCAAACTGCTTTGACAATTTTTGCTTCAAGTTTATAATCTCTTGCATGTTTGAGCCTGCAACGAGCATGTCATCAACGTACAACAATAAAATAATGAAGCTATTGTCGAACCTCTTGATGTAGCAGCAATGATCTGCTTGGCATCTGGTAAAACCACTGCTACTCATGAAACTATCGAACTTCTTGTACCACTGTCTATGAGCTTGTTTTAAACCATACAAGCTCTTCTTCAACCTGCATACCAGGTTTTTCTTGTCTGCCTCTATGAAGCCTTATGGCTGACTTATATAGATTTCTTCCTCCAAATCACTATGAAGGAAAGTTGTCTTTACATCTAACTGCTCAAGATGTAAATTCTCTGCAGCTACAATTTTCAACACCAGTCTGATTGTAGATAGTTTCACGACTGGAGAGAAAATTTCATTGTAGTCAATACCTTCTTTTTGCTGAAAACCTTTGACAACCAATCTCGCTTTGTAGCGTTTGCTCTCATCGTGCTCTTCTTTCATCCTGTAAATCCACTTGTTGTGAAGCGCTTTCTTACCTGGTTGTAATTCAGCTAATTCCCACGTCTGATTTGACAAAAGCGAGTCCATCTCATCTTTCATGGAAGACTCCCACTTGACTGAATCCTCCACTTGCATTGCTTCATCATAGCACTCTGGTTCACCATTGTCAGTCAGCAACAAGTAGTGCAAAGAAGGAGAATACCGTTGGGTTGGTTTAGGAATTCTGGAGGAGCGTCTTAGTTCCGGTGTGCCTGGTTCTTCTTGAACTGCTTCAGGACTGATCTGAACATCATTTCCAGAAATCTCCTCAGCAAATTCCTTTGTTTCAGCTTTGGTATTGGAGCTGCTTGATTCTACAGTTGACTTGTCTTTGTACATCACATTCTCATTGAAAATGACATCTCTGCTTCTAATGATCTTCCGATTTTCATAGTCCCAAAACCGGTAACCGAACTCATCACCGCCGTAACCAATAAAGGCACATTTGTTGGACTTAGCATCAAGTTTACTTCTTTCAGCAGAGTCTATGTGTACATAAGAAATACGACCAAACACTCTTAAGTGTGAAAGGTTTATTTCTTTCTTGCTCCAAACTTCCTCTGGTATTCTGCCATCCAAAGGAACTGAGGGCCAACGGTTGATCAGGTAAGCTGCAGTGTTAATAGCTTCAGCCCATAGAAATTTAGGCAATTCGGCATGTATCCTCATGCTTCTGGCACGTTCATTCAGAGTTCTGTTCATGCGCTCTGCTACGCCATTCTGCTGCGGTGTCATGGGAATTGTTGTCTCCATCTTGATCCCATTGTTTGCGCAAAAATCTCTGAATCTCCTATTTCTGTACTCTCCTCCATTGTCAGACCTCAACCGCTTGACTTTTATACCATTCTCATTTTCCACCATGGCCTTCCATTTTCTGAAGGTATCAAAGACTTCTGATTTTTTCTTCAGAAAATAAACACACACCTTCCTTGTAGAATCATCGATGAAGGTGACATAATATAATGAGCCTGCAAGAGATGGAACTGGAGATGGTCCCCATACATCAGTATGAACTAACTCTAACTTTTCAGCCTTGGGTGTCTTACCAATCTTTGCAAAGCTGACTTTCTTTTGTTGCCAAAGATGCAATCCTCGCATAGTCCGACATCTATATTCTTTAGATCCGGCAGCTTCCCCTTTGACAAAAGTGTCTTCATCCCTTTCTAGCTCATATAGCCAAGCCTTTGGTGCCATAGGTTTGATTTTCCATCAGCATCTGCTGCTGCAATGATATTCTCTAAATTTGAGGTTACATAGAGAGTACATGTCTTCTTACCACGTGCAATGATGAGTGCTCCTTTGGTAATCTTCCATTCACAACCTGAAAAGGTTGTACTGTATCCTTCTCCATCAAGCTGTCCTACAGAAATCAAATTTCTTTTGAGACCAGGAATATGTCTCACTCCTATCAGCTTCTAGGTGGTCTGGTTTGGCAGCTTTAGTCGAATGTCTCCTTTTCCGACGATCTTCAAGGTTTCATCATCAGCAAGATGAACCTTCCCAAAATCTCCACTGACATAGTTCTCCATGATTTCTTGGCATGGCGTGGAGTGGAAAGATTCCCCTGAATCCAAAATCCATGATTCAATCGGACTGTTGACGCTTAAAATCATGGCATCACCTGTCTCCTCCGTCATGTTGACAGATTCCTGTGCGCCGGTATTTTTCTTCGGTGCTCGGCAATCTCTTTTGAAGTGGCCCTTCTTGCCGCAATTATAACAGGTAAAATCTTTATTTCCTGTTCTTGATTTTCCCCTTCTGGATTTCGATCTGCCACGATTTGAATTTCTTTCTGAAGTTCTCCCTCTAGACTCCGTGTGCAAGGCTGAGGAGGTTGATGCTTCACCCGATTCTCTCCGTCGAATTTCTTCGCTCAGTACCAGATCCCGAACATCGTCGAATTTAATTTGATGTTTCCCGACGAACTGCTGACTGCTGTAACAGTAGCATTCCAACTGTCTGGTAAAGATGATAAGAGAATTAAAGCTCGAACTTCATCATCAAATTCAATTTCCACTGAACTCAACTGGGCTGTGATTGTGTTGAGTTCATTTAGGTGTTGTGCCACCGATGCCCCTTCCGTCATCCGCAAATTGAATAATCGCCTCATCAAATGAACTTTGTTTGAGGCCGATGGCTTCTCATACATACTGGAGAGAGCCGTCATAAGACCCGCCGTGATCTTTTCCTTTACTATGTTGAAAGCAACATTGCGAGATAACGTCAGTCGGATAACTCCGAGGGCTTGTCTGTCGAGAAGAGCCCAGTCTTCATTCTTCATGCCCTCTGGTTGTTTTCCTGAGAGGGGTTGATATAGATTTTTCTGGTATAGAAAATCTTCAATTTGCATCTTCCAAAATCCAAAGTCCGCACCATCGAACTTTTCAATTTTCACATTCCCTTCGTCTGCAACCATCGCTCCCACTCGAATCTAGCTTCGTTTGGATCGTTTCTGAAATTTTTTGCGAACCGCCGTGTATTAGGACACTTCCGTCGATAAACTTGTATCGCCGACCGAATTTTACTATTCACGAAATTCACTATTCACGTGAATAGTAACCCGAATAGTAACTTCGCAAAAAATTGACAAAATTCACAACCCAAAAGCTCTGATACCAGTTGTTGGGAAATAAACCAAGTACAAGTAATTTCCCTATAACCAGATTAGTGAAAATGCAAAATAAAATCGGAAAAATAATACCCGAAATTGATAACGGAGTTCAGCCAATTGTGCTTACGTCTCCGGACTGCTGCAAATCTTTTACTAAGAGAGAAAATTTACAGGTGTTTACAAAATACTCACTACTCACAAGAAAGTTCTCTAGTATTGGGAGAAAGAAATGATTTTTGGGATAGTTTTGAAGCTAAATGAGCTAGGGTATTTATAGTTGAAACTTAAGGACTTAATCTTATAAATACCCTAAAACATAGGGATTAATTATGATTATCCCATTATCATTTTTCAACAAACATATACCAAACTTTGAAAAACTATTTTTCAAAGAAACATTTACCAAACTTTGAAAACCATTTTCAAAGAAACATTTACCAAACTTTGAAAACCATTTTTTTCAAAGTTGGTTACCAAACTTGAAAACCATTTTAATACTTTCAACACTAATATCTGCTTATTTTATGCTTTATTTCGTGAACTAAGACAGAGTTTTCCTTTCAAGAATGAGCAATCTCAGGATGTTGTCTTACATTCGAGGTCTGGTTCTCCAGACAACTCAGCTGCCCTGCATAAGGACCAAAAGTCAAGTTCTTCAGATCTATGTTCAATTGCAAAGGAGGAAAACAATGGATCCAATGTTACTCCCAAAGAAAAAAATTACTTCATCAAATCCAAATATGGAGCCTGAAGTGAAGAAAGCAAATAATTTGGAAACAGTCAAGTAACAACAAGTTTCATCCTTGCATGCTTTAACATGCCCATAATCAAAGATCCATTTACTCTCCACATAAATACAAAGAGAACTCTGACTTTTGGGCAGTTATTGACGGTGAAATAGTTAGATATTAGTACTGTCACTAAGGGCTATTAAGTTTAATTGTTACATTAATATGAAAACTTGCCATGTCTCCGTACTTTGTATCTTGCTTTGTGTCTCTTTGAATGTTTTGCATTTCTCTTTCTCTGTCTCTTTCTTTTTCTAATAGGGTGGTAGATGCTGGATCTGTCATCTCTTATTGCCCAATGTTGATTTATTTGTTTGAATTTTTCATGCAAGCTCTTTAAGAGACTTTGTGCTCATTATTTGATATTTGCAAGCAATTATTAGTTTGTAATGACATTTTCTGGCTTTGAATAATATTTTAATGGCTGATATATTATTAACCTTCAAATACTTGTCGCTTTGTTATGTTGAATATTTTGCATGGACCTGCATGTTTGATTCTAGTTACCCACACCTTTGGAGATTCATAGAAATTTCATGCTTATAGTCAGAATCACGGAACAACTTCTTGTCTTTTCTTTGGTGCTATTGCTAAGGTTTTGTGAGGATATTGATTGAGAATGTCTTTGAGGGGACAAAATTTGAAGGTGGACACCACTGCATATACTTGCTATACAAATCTTTAAGTGGTATAAATATGTTAGATGAGAAAATCCTTTTTTTATGATAAATCTGGGGTGAATTCAAGGTAGTATCTGTTTAGAGACTCAACCATTTGACAATGAATGTTCATATCCCTGCTTACGCGGTGCTCGAACCTGGGACCTAAATGGATAACCACAAGTTCCTTAACCACTGAGGTCGTTTGATTTGTGCTAGATGAGATAATCTTTAAATATGGGATTGAGGATCTTAAATTTGACTTTAGGACTAAAACTGAAGTTATGCAGTCTTTATGCTTGATTGCCCTTGTGTCTTAGATGCTAACAAAATGCAGAATGTAACATGTAGAAATCTGAAGAGAAATGATATAGTGCCTATTTTTCTTTTCGAGAGAAAAAATATACCGGTATAGTTACCTCATGGCATCTAAGGATGTCGACTAATATATTTGCAAGGTTGTAACAATATAGACATCCATAGGTGCCAGGAGGTAACTATAATGGTACATTTTTTTGTAAAAAAGAAAAATAGATACTATATCATTTCTCTTCAGATTTCTACATACCTAATTTTTCTTTTTGTTAGTATCCAAGACACAAGGACAATCAAGCATAAAGACTATGAATAACTTCAGTTTTAGTGCTAAAATCAAATTTAAGATCCCCAGTCTCATGTTTAAAGATTTTCTCATCTAAGATATTTACACCACTTAAAGATTCGTATAACAAGTATATGCCACCTTTTTTCTCTTTTGAAGTTGCAAAAATATATTTTGCCAAGCACGTTTATGACCATGCATGCAGTGTCTTATACTTATGCTCCCTTCTTAGTTCAATTTTGGGCATAATATATGTGAATTTACTGAAAAGAGGAGAGAGTTTACTGGAAGAGAGTTTTTTATCTGTTATTCCTTTGTTATTTGAAAAAACAAACAAATCAGACCTATTAAATATACAACATAAGAGTCCTGCTAGGTGTTTACTTTGTTATATAAACAGAAACTATCCTGTCTTTTTACTTAGATAAATCTAAAATAGAAGCTTAATGCAAAGGAAAATGCTAAATACAAAGTATACTTCTATATCCTACAATATAACAGTTCATTAGTTGAGTATAGCCAAGCACGTGTTTAATCTTGCACAGAGTTGTGTCCTGATTATATTCTCTATTCTTAGTTATCTTTTGTGCAATTTAATGATTCACAAATATTGACCCTTCAAATATGAAGTGCACTCTTATCTGTTAAAGGAGGGAATATAAAACAGAAAAAAGAGATGGGAGTAAAACAATTAGCCTTAAATTCATTGCAGATGTACATGAGTAATTACTTTCCTATAAGTTATGTTTGATAGCTGCATCTTGATTTCCTTTTGCGTGCTAGCTGTACCTTGTAAAATACAACCTGCCTTACTTCTCTTGCTGTCCTAATTTATAATTCGTTAGGAGCTAGCTAATGCTGAGGTCAGTGATCTGATGCTGCATTCCCTGCTGCCACAAGCTGGCCAATTTGATGAGAAGAGCATTGTAACCATGCTTGATTTAGAAACTATCAAGAAGCTCAAAGAAAGTTTTAGTACTATTAAGGATAAAAATGCAATCCAGCATTTTTCTCCCAAGTATGGAAGGAAGAGAACAAATGGCCTAAACTGGACTAAGGATAAGGTATTTCCCTTGCTCTCTTTTTGGTCAAACAATAAAATTCAATATCATTTAGCGAGTTTTGATTAAAATAGGAAGAACTTTGTCTAAAAGGTTTGATTAGCCGTGGTGTACATGCTATCGTGCAACTGCTAGTTAACCTTTTCCCTGTGTCCGACTTAATAATTGAAATGAAAATTTTTAATGCATTTGAACCTCCAAAAGTACTTTCATGGTTTTATAAATCTTCTGTTTGATGTCAAAGGAAATTTCAGATAATATCAATTCATTTGTAACTAGTTCAGTTCAAGGGAAGTTTTTTAACATGCATTTAGCTTCTTTTTTTAATTTTGCACGACTTGTACATGTAGATAACAAATGGGCTGAGCTTGTCTACGCAAAAAAATAAGTTGGACCTTATGAGTTCTCACATATTACAATCAACTGAATGAGTTTGCATTTATGATATGGAGGGAGAAAAACTGACTTAATTGTGATTTAAACTGTAGAGAATGCATAATGAAATGCTCTTTTGCAACTTTCTACCCTTCCTAACTTTAAACATTCCATCATATCAATCAATATACTCTTTCTTTTTCACTTATATATGTATCATTTTCTCTGTTGCATTATAGCTCTTCTGGTGTTGCATGTAAATTAAATTAAATATGCTTCTCTTCAACAGGATGCAGCTGCACAGAGTGTGAATAACTTAGACCTGGATCCTTCAAAATATTCAGCTGACCACCTGAACAAGAAGAAAAAGTTAAATTCTTCTAGTTTGAAAATCATGAGTGAGGAAGCAACAATGCACACTTCTATATCTGCCTCAGATATGTTAATCATAGATTCATCATCAAATTCAATGGGGATAATAGCAGATCTCAGCAAGAAAGTGAAGGTATGGCCAGCTATCTAACTCATGTTGGAACAAAATGTGTTGCATCTTTAGATGTCTCTTGTTAAAGTCATGTTATCCCGCATTTATTAAGTTTCGTCTGTCGGGATGACAGAAGATCTTGGCAATCAAGTGAAGGCATGACCAACCATCTGATTCATGTTAGAGCTAAAATTTGATGGCTCTTTACTCTTTAGATACCTTTTTTAAGTGATATTATCTCACATCTACTAAGTTTTGAATTTCTTGTGGCCTTATACTCAAGTTGGGTCTCTCCACCTGCTGAACAAATAGTTTTAGTTTCAATGTTGAACATTCCGAATGTGTTCTGTTGTTGATACCTTATCACCCTAATCCCATGTTAGGTGGTCCATGTGAAAGCCTTATTGAGCTACATGTTAGAGCGAGTGCTCAGTGAAATTAGCCTACATCTGTCCTAACTTATTTATCAACCAGTTTCAAATTGATGCTTAACACGCTGTGTCAAGGTACAGGAGCGGGTAATTCTGTTACGACCATTTCTTACTTACGGTGGCCGTTGTGGTCTGTCCTAACTTAGGTTCTTGTTTCAGGATGCACTGACTACAAATATTATTGCGAAAAATTTAGGCTCGACTACTCAGAAACAGACCACTGGACACTCTGATGAGATGAAAATATGCACAGACAACTGAAAGTTAATGGAGGTGAAATGGAAAGATGTAATACAATTTGAACAGATATGAGAAGAAATGAATTTCTTACCCTTTATTGCTCTAACAGTAACTCACAGTTTATAAGGAAGAAATAGTCTAAGTTAGGAAATGATTCCTAAGATCAGGGAATTAGATTAATGACTATTTACATTAAGCAAACTCCTAGAAATAAGGAAAACAAAAGGATTTTGTCCCTTGATTCTAGGAATTCCAACACTCCCCCTCAAGTTGGAGTGTAGATGTTCATCAAACCCAACTTGCTAGTGAGATCTTCAAACATGTTCTTGTTTAGGTTCTTGGTAAACAAGTCTGCAACTTGTTGTTTAGTTGGTAGGTAGGTTATGCATACTTCCCCTGATTCGATCTTCTCTTTGATGAAATGTCGATCTATTTCTACATGTGTGGTACGATCGTGGTGAACCGAATTGTATGCTATGCTCACCGCTGCCTGATTGTCACAGTACAGTTTCATAGGTCTGGTGTGAGGCATTTTTAATTCCCTCATTAGTTGTTGTATCCAAACTCCCTCGCATATACCATGTGACACAACTCGATATTCAGCTTCAACACTACTATAGGCTACAACATATTGTTTTTTATACTTCTCCACGCCACAAGGTTACCCCACACGTAGCTGCAGTAACCGCTTGTAGACTGTCTATCATTCACCGAACCTGCCCAATCTGCATCCGTGTAGATGTCTACATATCGACTATTTGTTTTCTTGAAGTGTAGGCCCTTGCCCGGGGTTCCCTTCAGCCCACTTACATAATAAATCTACTCTTGAATTCATAAGACTTTTTCATCAACAAAAAGATATTCTGAAAGCTAACAATAATCAAAAGCAACATGTAACCACCAAGTATAACTCCTACAATGATTGCAAATACCTCTACTGGACTTCAGCAAAGCCTTATACATACAAGCAATCATTGAATGGATCGGCAATAACAAAAGTTGATACGACGCATCTCGCATTCACGTGTGCATAAATTCTTATCCATCAAAGCAATCGTCCAATAATCGCACAAGAAGCACATATTTATTACAAATTTAAATAAGTTAAAATCGTAAATGAAAGACTCAACACAAATACCAATTCAAACATTTGTATAACAAATACATATAGAATATCTCAAAAGCACTTGGAATATTAGTTTTAACAATTTACTTCATCTTCAAATTTCCTCTATTTATCAAGCAGCCAAAGCAGGATTCAACTCATTACAGTATATCATACAACGTTATAAAAGCAAAAGCTGTCTTAGATATTAAACTCAAAAGTACTTTCATTTCATTTTTTTCTTGTGCATTTTCTGACCATCAAAACATGGATTAATCTTAAGGCGAAATGAATACATTTGAAAGATATTAGAACATTTGAGGAAAAAATTAAAAAGGAATCTTAGAATGTATACCCTTCAGTTCGCTTTCTTCTATCTTTGCTCCCAATTTCTCTGAAACCAAACAGCAGTTGTATCATTAAACACGGTTTAAGAGATCATGGGATCAAAATGAACCATGGACTATTAATTTCCTACAATATCTCAACAAATAAACAAAGATGGCCAGATGATTTAGGGCAAAAACAACAAAAAATTGATCGAAAACAACCTTGAAACATATACCAGAAAAAAGGCTGAATAAAAAAATTAAAAAATACCTTCATTGATATAATAAAAACGGTTACACAGAAAAGGAAACAATAGTTGGACCAATGGAGGTGCAGATTCCAGATAATAATAATAATAATAATAATAATAATAATAATAATAATAATAATAATAATTACCATTATTTATCTTCTTCTTCTTCTTTTTGTCTTTTTAGGTATTGAATTTTCTTCTATATTTTTCGGATGGTTTTCATAAAGTTATCAACTTTATATTCATTTTGGTTGCTTCCAGATTGTTCTCCTGAAGATCGCAAAGTCATGCGAGGGCAACGTTGGAAGCTGATGTCGTGAATAGGATGCTACATCTAACAAAATTAGGTAAATTTAATTAAATTAAAAAATAATTAAATATTAATTCTTAACATGTCTTGGCTTAAAATATATTATATAGGATTAGGATTCATTTGCTATTAAAGAATTAACATTATATTTTATTTCTGCTTTGATCATTAAATAATTAATGACGATAAAGAATGATAATGAACTACAACCTACAACTACTTAAACAGCAATGTCAGTAAACATCTCTTCGTGCAGCAAGGGACGCACCTCCATCGGTGGCTTTGTGAACTTCACACAATCGTACTGACTTCTATCCATCAATTTTGTCATACAATCCGTCGGTTTATTTCCTTTGCGAGGAACATGTTGAAATATCACTATCCATTCGGACCATTCCCGTTTCAAAAGCTCCACGATGTGTTGCACAAGCGTTATCTGGTTGAACTGATTCTATACCGGGCCAACATCTCGCCTTGTTAATATACAACTCAGAACCGATTTCAAGTTCAACTGGGCCAGTCTGGTTTTTCAATCAGTAAACAAGATATTGCATATTGCTCTGATACTACCATCCTGTCTCAAATTTCAACATCCAAAAACATCGGTGTCATAATCATGAAGAACTCCATGTGTAATGCTCTTATGATTTACCAAAGTCTTTGACAGAGATTCAGTGTATATGTGCATATATATATATATATACACACACACAAATACGACAGCTCGACAAATGAACCGATTGTCCGTAGAAGTATAACAACTATTACCCTAAGTCAGAGAAACGATCTTTACCTAATTATTTGGGTACATGAATCTGGTGGTTGCACCACCTATTTAGCTTCAACAGCCAATTCCAAATTATGGCCATTAGAGACGATGAAAATGTAACCATAAATCAATTATGCACACAACTCGGTTACCTCACACAATGTATGTCTTTTTCGAACTCTTTGGACCGCGTTTTCTTCTCGGGTTACTGGTGATCATGCAGGAGAAGGCATTGACAATCTCGGAATCCTCTTCTGTTGTTAAAATCTTCGCTGCACTCGGGTCCACGAGTAGAAGTTTTGCCACGAGATATCCAGCAATAGACCAGGTTTGGAACAGTCTTGATTGTTTTCCGATGAACCTTGCTTTTTTAGTATCATAGTACTCAGGCCATTTGTCCCTGGATAAGCGTTTCTCAGCAACTGAAACTGCTTTTGCGGCAATCTCGGGTCTATTCATCTTCATACATGCAACTGCCAACCGTATGATGGGATGGATTCGAGTATCAGAGTTTCATCCATTGATTGCAAAGCTTATACCCAAAACAAATATCTTCTTCGATATATTATCTTTTAATATTAGCTATCAATATTCTAAACATAATAAATAATGCAACAATACCTACGGCTAAACATCAGCCAGACTGGTATCTACAAATTATGAGCCACAACGACCAAATATACACAACATCAACAATTTTCCTGATATATATAAATATCTATAATTTTGATGGTCATCTACAATTACATAGGGAAGCCTGAAAAACCCTCAAAATTTCGAGACCTCGAATGCAAACCTAAGAACAGGATGTTAACAATGAAATTTAGAGAAATTAAATGAATGTCAACATTACTAACCTGCCAGAGTAGAGTTGGCCAGGAACCACTATTGTGGTAAGACCAAGGCCTGCATTAAACAAATATGCAATTAAAATGCTGATGCTGACCAAAAAATAATAACATTATCATATTTAAGGGAGTCATGTTACGTGTTCTTCGGATCACGGCCTGTAATAATCTGCCACTCCTGACCTTCAACAGCTGGGTAACAGATCTTAAATGGCATTTCTGCCACCAAATCCGCCCATTTAGCTTCAATGAGATCCAATATAGCATGTGACTGAGCAGTTGTTGCAAGACCACTTACAACAGCCCACAAATTTCCAAGAGAAAAGAATCGAAAATCCATATGAGCTGGTTGTAAGTTCCCAATCAAGTAGCCTCCTTTATTGGGCATCCATTCCACCAACCAAGGAGAGATTTGATCAGGATAAATATTGAACTTATTTACGGCGTCATATGAATACTCTTCAGTCTTGTAACGGTAAATCTCATTAAGTTTTCTCATATCAATCCAGTAATATTCTCGGATATGAAACGACAGAGCAACCAGACGGTTATTCAATGCTCGAAGAAGATCGGCTGATCCATTCTCCAGAGTTAGCATTTCACGTGCACATAACAATGCCGAATAGAAAAGTGACTACAGAAATGCAAAATCATCTGAATATCAGGTTCATTTTCACACTGATTTAAATTCCTCATGCATACAAAGCATGTAATTTTTTATTTTAAATGTCAACAATCCATGCATATAAAAGT